TGCCCAAGAACACAACACAATGTCCCCGGCCAGGGCTCGAACCCGGACCGCTCGATCCGGAGACGAGCGCACTAACCATGAGGCCACTGCGCCTCCCTACCTTAAGAACATATATAAAATCTGCAAAAGCACTCGCTCGCGAAGTGCCGCTAGCTACGAAGGCTAGAAAGGCAAAAACAAGATTACAATCTACAAATTGCAAATAAAGCCCAATGCGATAAAAGGAAGAGAACTTACCTTGTTTGACGGCAAAAGCGAAATGCTGCGTGTAAGTGTCAGTCAAGCAAAGGAAGCCTTTCTAAAGCGTTGCTTCTCAATATCTTGAAACCGACAGTATCAAGGCATGACGTCATACAAAGAGTGCAACATCTCACGTCCGACTGGAAACTCGCTGGTAAAAAGGGGTGATTCTTCTCTATATATATTAGTCGCTTTCTCGTGCTGTAGGAATTTTTGAATCGTATATGTTAGATATAAAAGGAAAGAATCAAACAAACTCATTAATTTTTGCCATGCGGCGAATTTGCTGATTTATTAACTTTAAATCCATCTTTAGTTTCGACCACACAAAATTACCCCGGCATTGTTTACGAAGCCTTGGCAGTGAGCCGCGACACAGAGCAGAAGTCTATGTTCTTGCTTTGGGCAAGTTTTCTTGCCCCACTACTGAGTTACAAAACTGTCGTTTTACCATTGACAACTTGATTATCTCAACAAAGAGTCGATAATACACGCCAAAAGGAGAAAAATGCTACTTCCTGTTCACGTCGGTCTTCCTCTGTGTTTCAGCTGCCCGAAAGAGCTCGTTGAAATGTGACAGGAAGGCCGAAACTTTGTAAACAGTTCCTGTTTCAAGTTCATTAAGTTATTTAAATTTATCGCAATACCTCTTGACGTGTCTCTTTGCATGACGTCATGTCGTGTTACTTTCGATACTACGAAGAAACGCTTTAGAAAGGATTCCAATGCTTGACTGACACATACAAGCTGCATTTTGCTTGCGCCGTCAAACAAGGTAAGTTCTCTTCCCTTTATCGTATTAGGTTTTGTTTGCGATTTGTAGATTGTAATCTTGTTTTGCCGTAATGGTGTTCGATGCAAATCATAGATCAAAGCCAAACTGTAGGCGAACAATTTTGGTGAAATAAAATAAGGACTTTCGTTGCAATGCAAATTCCTCTAAAATAAGTAATGCCTGGTTTAAACGTTTCGCTATCGTCGTCTCGAACACAATTAAATATATTCATTGAGGGGTGTTCCATCAAGTTATTGTGGAAGGTTGCTTGAATTTTAACTGCTCAATTTTCGCCTTTCTAGCATCATTAGCATGCGTAGCTGGCGGGATTTCGCGCGCTGAAAATAGGGAAAGGAAGTATAAAGAATCATCACAAATATAAAGAATCATCAAAACAAATGGTAACAACCATTGCAAAAACGTTGACTTCGGATACTCATCGAGGAATACTGTGTTTTGTGACTTCGGATAACATACAACTACCCCTTGATAGGGATTCCTACTTCTATTTGTATCTCACAACAAAATCCATGGTTGATTAGCACAATTGATTATCGCAAAAACGTTGGCACTGAAATTCACGTGCAAGTGCACCCGGATAAATGACAAAAGAAGAAAGCCTACCCCTGCATGTACGCCCAGCTCTTTAAGCGTGCGCAGGGAAATGACCCGTTCTTTTGAAAAGTCTCGCAAAATCGTAGAATGATTGACATTTTAACGAGTAATAGCTTAGTGTGTAGCGTAGATAGTGGGAGTTACAGCAATGATTAGATTATGTAAAGGAACTGTCGGTCGGGCGATCATCCAATAAACTTTTTGTTCTCCTAGCGGCTCTTTCAACTCCTAAAATATTCAACTTTTTCGGCTCACAGGCTTGACTTGACTTTATTAGAGATTTGAATATTTGGATTTCGTAGTTGGATTCTGCTTTCGCTGTAATTTTGTGTTCCACGACGAGCAACGCCGGACAGTGGGGTGATTTTCATGCATGAATTGATCAAAAATCTTTGCTACGCATAAAACCGATGAGTTTGCTTGGAGTTTTTCATTTACACATAATAACTTTACTTGCATCAAATATATAAATATCTACATGCATGCAAATAGGGTGCCAGTAGGAAGAACTTAATCCGTATAATCCTCATATAGTATGGCTGGGTTAATCCTTTTATAGACAATAGATTACGTCAAATTGTGTGTTCGTGTTTGTCAAAGTAAGGAAAGGCCCCACGTTCGAGTAATGTTCCAAGATTTTGAAGTACATGTCCCTTTGTGCTGATCACGACTGTGTTTTGTTGTTAGGCATCCTGATCTTCCTTGAAGCATGGTAACAAACACTCAGCGCCTGATTTTCATTTACCTCTCAGTCTGTGTTCTGCTGTCCGTTGGATTTGAAGTCAAATATCTAAGATATTGCGGTAAGAGTAAGCTATATTCATGGTCAGTTATCATAATCTCTTGGAATCAGGCAAGCGCTGTCAAAATAAGCAAAAAAAAAAAAAAAAAAAAAAAAATGTAATACTAAATTTGACACTTTCTGTGTAAATCCATTGACATCTCACGTAAAACTTGGGCATCAGTCATTCTTCTAGGTTTAGTGTAGCCATACTGCGACTCAATTAAAATGTACTTTATGTACGGATCGGAGTCGTAACATACAACAGGGCTCTGTTTGTGACTGACCTCAAAATCCACAAAGCCAAATTTCCACGCTGGTCATCTGTTTCATGAGTAATGAAGTTGTAGCTTGCACATGTGCTGAGCCGTGATAAACTCAATATCTTTTAGTAATTATTAGTAGTTGCTCAATGCCCGCTAACTCACTCCGTGTGTTGTTAATGGTTGTGTGGTTACAGGATGATCTTCTTATACTTTTACAGGACCACCAGACAAAACCTTCAAGTACAAAATTACGCCATGGCCCGAGCTGAAGCCCGGTAAACCAGCAAATGTTACGGTCTCTTTCACTCCCGGTAAGTCTGATGACATGGTTCTTTAAAATGTCAAACAATGTAACTGCCTTATTCCGGAGAGAATCCATGCTTTATCACCCTAAATTTCAACTGATTTATCAATATGATCGATACTCTTTTTTTCCCAAAAGATATTTTATATACATCTAACGTCTCCAACGGGGACGTTAGATGACAATATATCTACGGTCCTGTAATCCTTCATCTTTTGCCAAAATTGTCCTCAATATAGAGGAGTTGAGAGGAGTTTGTGCGAGGAGTCTATCAGTGCGAGAAAAAAAGTTCTGTCTCGTTTAATTTTCTCCCCTGTTGCGTTCAAAGCACAAAGTGATCTCCAATCGCAAATTTTTGCCGCCTTTTTCATACAATCAGTCCGCTTACATCAGACTTACCATTTAAAAGTTCTGTGAAATGTAGCCGAACCTCTTCCTGAAGGCAGGGACTGGGCTTATCGAGGGTTTATCTTATGTTGATAGAGAACAGGATAACAGCACAATATATATTTGAATAGTAGCTAGGTTTGTGTCAGAACAAAGTCAACTCTAGGCAAGTCTCATCTTAGGTAGGGGACTGTAAAATACAGATGATAATGAACCTTTGAAGTTGTGAAGACTGCACAGAAACAACACTATATTTGCCAAGTTAGTAAGAATAAGCACGTCAAATAAAAGTTTTATATCATTGCTAAACGTTTGGCATTTTTCTTGGGTAATAGTTGTAGACATCTTTTCATCAACACTGCAGTTCGAACTGATCTCAGAAAACGACGGACACATCATATTCAGAGAAGCACCGAGCATGCAATGCAATAAATGGCCCCAAATTTGTAATTTAGCAAAAGGAGGTAAGTAGTGTCAACTGAAAATCTTTCGTGGGGAGTGGGAATGGGGCAAGACGAAGCGCTGTTTAACAAATTTACGTCAGTTTTTCGTGCCTTTGTCCTGTTATTGATCATGAATTTATTCATAATATTGTCAAAGTAGCTGTAGATCCACAGACTACTTTGACAATGTTATGACGAAAGTTGTTGCCAATAACGGAACAGACGCATGAAAAACTGACGTCAATTTGCCTTTTACAGTAAAAAAGTTGTCAAATTGTCCGCTCTCTCTCCTTGTGTCAACATAAATTATAAATTGATATGTCCTGTCTGTCCGCCTATTTCCGCCTATTTCTGCAGTTATGGTAAAAATTAATATTGACAGGGATGTTCGCAGTACAATTCGACATTCTAACTATTTGGAGAAACTCGAATGTCAATAAAAAGTGGTGGACAAAAAATATGTTGGTTAGCAACACAAGACCATGATCATGTTTTTCTTGGTAGCGTGGTAGCAAGTAAAGGTGCTCGATTGAAGAACTTGTTCCCTCTCAGGAGAAAAACTGAATCTGACCTACACCTGCAAAGATGATCCTATTCTCGTACTTTATAGCGCATTCTCTTCCCATTAATGGCCCTATACTCTTCATATGTACGCTCCCGCTACAGCCACTTGACAATGGCCCGGGCATTCTGCCAGTTTTAACAAATCATAGAGCGGGCGTTCCAGTCCACTCAGCGGTGATTGCGTTTACAAGTGTTCACTTTTAGGTATTTTAATTGTAGGTATTTTAATTGTAGGATTTAACTCGATCATAGTTAATTATATAACAGAAGGAAAAGAATAAGAAACCTGGCAAAGATCTTTGTTGTATGTTTTGTTGACTACTTTGGGGGTTGACCTTGCACAAAAGCTGGGAAAATGCAAAAAGTTGTTATGTGCGGGGAGTGTCTAATCAGCGCGGGTCGCGGCTAAATTGGCGCGGCTTAACTAAGACAGTGTCTCATGCAGTAAGATGTCGTGAGTTAAGTACATTATCGTAGTAAAATTCGCTCTGTGTGTTTTAGTATTTCATGTCTGAGCAAATGGTAGTTAATCTTAACTTACGCACGGCGTTCAATTCCTTCGCTTTTATAATACTGAGAAACTAGAAATTAATGTTAAGCCGAGTAAGACACCGCTTTGCTGGTTCAACCCGTATTTGAAAATGTGAAAGCAAGCCGTATCCTTCTACCGGATTTTCTCGATATTTCCCGTGTACTGAAAACTATAACAAAATCTTCGTACTTGAATGGTTATCGGTAGCCCCGTTTGAGCACTTGTAACTCGCCCTCCGGTGTAAAAACGGTTAAAATTAAGCGCTCCCCCCGGCGTACTTAGACGTGTTTTCTTTCCAAAGCCCTTTACGCTCTCTCACAAACCAGAAACCACTGCTACAAAGGTTAAGAGTTCCCAGACTGTCCCATCGGTTGAATTATTCATCAGAATAAAGTGAGTGGCGATAAATCAAAGTCATTGAAGTATTTTTAAAATATTAAACTGACCAATGATGTAGTATTGTGGCTTAACTATTTCCTTCTATTAACTCGACAGAGCGAGTTTCCAAGAAATCATACGTTGCTTGTTTGTTTTGTTCTTTTTGTTTTGCATAGAAACCTATACCTTGAAATACAACTACGATGGTATTAGAGCTGTTCCTCCTGGCTTAAAGGTACAGTAATCAATGTCATATTTAAGGGATAAAATACCAGTCGCTACGTCTTTTATACTCTGATATGATAAATATCATATATAGACACGTTATGTGCTCACGAGATTATGCAGCGAAAGCTAGCTTTAGCCTATAGATCGTTTNTGCCATCTTCAAC